CCTAAAAAAATTCACACAATTGGTGGGTGTTGAATTAAAAAAATATTGTATTCAAAATTGTTTTTTCTGGAATATCTTGGCAATGCTGCCATGGAAATTCGAAAACAAAGACTCCTTAGAAAGCTAAAAAAATATGGAATCGAATGACATATTCATATACTGGGTGTTCTGTTGAAAAAAATATAACTTTGGTTTTCCACGCTCGGCTCAATCACCCAATATGCGATAAAATAATTTATAAAGATGGTATTTATCGATATGATTTCGGAAAAAAATTGAGTAATTTGAAACATTGTTTTCCCTGATAGATGGACCGAGGGAATCTTGTTGACTCACCCTGTATAATTCCAATTCGACAGATAAGGAAAAAAACAAAATTATTTTACAAAATATTTTGAAAAGGTTCCTTCCTGTGCCTGAGTGGTCAAAAATTTTATCGAGCCGTGTGGATAGCTACAACTAACACAGGCAATGATGTAGATCATTTAAAAACATTCAGATCAAAATGTTAAGACTTTCAAAGTACTTACCAACATCTTTATCGAGGGCTAACCCTTCATACCCTTCGTACGATCTAGGTATGCCATGATCCTTGGCAAACTTATCAGCACTACTTTGCGACCTAGCAGCCACTGCCACAAATTTATGATCGGAGTCAGGATAAGTCTGGGTTGCGGTAACAAAATCATGAGAAATTCTTCCAGCACCAGCAATACCCCATCTAAGAGCCATTGTATTCTATCAACAATACTCTCATCTGGTACAAAGTTTGTTTAGAACTGAACTATGAACTAACGTAGGTACACACTACTTCTAAATTAGCATTCAACCAGTCATGCATGGGCGGCCCGGAAAATATTTCGCGAAGGAATAAAATTCCAAGGAAAGTGCAACTTTCAATCGAATATGATTGAACAGGTATACATCAAACAGGGTCTGAAACACAAAATTGCTCTTGTCCATTGATAGGAAGGTTGAGAAATATAAAATATCTAGGTATTATGGTAGACCAGCATCTGAGATGGGATGCTCACTCTGTTACGTAGTGAAAAACTCAGAATAATAATTGGAAGCTTCTTCAGTTACGAGATATCTTGAATGAAAGAAATCATCTTATATTATATAAATCTCCAGCGGAAACTGTCCTGAGATATTGTATAAATGCTTGGAGTGGAATAAAACCATTAGTCGACTTCAAACAACACAAAACACTATTCTATTGAAGAAACCTAGGTTATTCTCAACAAACCAACTATATAAAAATAATGAGACCTTGAATGTCAGGGGTTTATATTCCTATCAATGTCTTCAGTTGATGTCCAAAAACAAACAAGATTACGGAAAAAATATTGCGAAAAAATATATTTAAAATATCTGTTTTTTGTATTGTATAGCTCTGAAAAAAAATATAGTGAAATGTTGAAACATATCATACAAATGAAAAAATACAGGGTATTCCACTTGAGAAAGTTGAATTATGTCTGTTTGAAAATGAATGAAATTTGACCGGTTTTACCGAGCACCCTATATATTGTTTCCGAAAGTTGAGATTCCCGAGATTGTCATAGTGATCTTGAATAACTATTCCTAAAAATATTCACACAATTGTGAATATATTGTCTCCAATATCTTGGTAATGCTGCGATGGAAATTTAAAAACAAAGACTCCTTAGAAAGCTGAAAAAAGATGGAATCGAATGACATATTCATATACTGGGTGTTCTATCGAAACCAAAAAACTTGGTATTTATCGATATGATAGCGAAAAAAGATTGAGTAATTCAAAAATTGTTTTCCCTGATAGCAATGGACCGAGGGAATCTTGTTGACTCACCCTGTATAATTTCAATTCGACAGATAAGGAAAAAAACAAAATTATTTTACAAAATATTTTGAAAAGGTTCCTTCCTGTGCCTGAGTGGTCAAAAATTTTATCGAGCCGTGTGGATAGCTACAACTAACACAGGCAATGATGTAGATCATTTAAAAACATTCAGATCAAAATGTTAAGACTTTCAAAGTACTTACCAACATCTTTATCGAGGGCTAACCCTTCATACCCTTCGTACGATCTAGGTATGCCATGATCCTTGGCAAACTTATCAGCACTACTTTGCGACCTAGCAGCCACTGCCACAAATTTATGATCGGAGTCAGGATAAGTCTGGGTTGCGGTAACAAAATCATGAGAAATTCTTCCAGCACCAGCAATACCCCATCTAAGAGCCATTGTATTCTATCAACAATACTCTCATCTGGTACAAAGTTTGTTTAGAACTGAACTATGAACTGACGTAGGTACACACTACTTCTAAATTAGCATTCAACCAGTCATGCATGGGCGGCCCGGAAAATATTTCGCGAAGGAATAAAATTCCAAGGAAAGTGCAACTTTCAATCGAATATGATTGAACAGGTATACATCAAACAGGGTCTGAAACACAAAATTGCTCTTGTCCATTGATAGGAAGGTTGAGAAATATAAAATATCTAGGTATTATGGTAGACCAGCATCTGAGATGGGATGCTCACTCTGTTACGTAGTGAAAAACTCAGAATAATAATTGGAAGCTTCTTCAGTTACGAGATATCTTGAATGAAAGAAATCATCTTATATTATATAAATCTCCAGCGGAAACTGTCCTGAGATATTGTATAAATGCTTGGAGTGGAATAAAACCATTAGTCGACTTCAAACAACACAAAACACTATTCTATTGAAGAAACCTAGGTTATTCTCAACAAACCAACTATATAAAAATAATGAGACCTTGAATGTCAGGGGTTTATATTCCTATCAATGTCTTCAGTTGATGTCCAAAAACAAACAAGATTACGGAAAAAATATTGCGAAAAAATATACTAAATCTGTTGGAAATCTATCCAAATTCAGAAAGAGTCATACCCAAAGATTTATATTTTATTTCGGATCCAAACTATACAATATGTTACCTCTGAAAGTTAAGCATATAACAAAAATGGCAAGTTTCATTCTCGAAAACAATAAACTGAATTATATTTTCAATTGATACACACTCCTCTATTACGTATTATTTACTCTTTCCCATTATCCTAACCAACCCAACTAATATAAAATAAATCTTACGATGAATATCTAATTCATCTACTCAGTATTATTATTATTTCTCAAAACTTGCATTGTATAAAAAGTGAATTAATATACCCAAATGAAACGAGCATTCATTGCTTAGGTATGTTCTATGCTTGGACTGCTATGGACTGAAATAAAAATTCCTAGAACTTGGTTGTTTTGATTTTAATTTAATTTATAATCTTCCAATATACGGAAGGAAAGAGATGGTGTTTACGTTGTGCCATTGAGCCCAAGAAAATAAGTGAAAGCCTTGAATTTTTTGTTCATTTTCAAGACCCACCTCAACTTAAATGTGCGAGAAAGACTAGGCCAATATTAGTCACATAGTCACGAGTCATGAGTAGACAACCACTGTAGGCCCTTTATGAATATGTGAAAATATTATAACCTGCGTATTGGAATTGATATGATTTCATAGAACGTAGTAACAGCCTTGGATAACAAACTACAAATTTGTGGTTTGTTCATCGATTTTTCTAGAGCATTTGACTGTGTGGATCACTATGTACTAATCCAGAAAATGCATCGCTATGGGGTTCGAGGGGTTGCCCAAGATTGGATGAGGTCCTATCTAGAGAACAGGTCACAAACAGTGATAATTCAAGGTGTTCACAGTCAGTCCTTGGCCTGCAAGCAAGGAGTTCCACAGGGGTCTATACTCGGACC